AGTATTAATAGTTGACTGATTCGTATTACAGTCGTTTTAAGGAAGTACCCTTCGATGCTGGGTGCGCAAAACTATGGAATCCTTTGCGTACTGAAAGAGTTAAACAACCGGGTCCTTTTTATTGCGGGTTCGTAGAGGGTCACACACATACAGGGGTATCACATGGCGGCCAGCGAGCGTGCATCGAGACACGAAACAATTACGACGCAACCAGACACGATCATGACGATTTATAGCTAGCCGCGGTTCTCGGGCGATTTTTCCCCGCTGTGTATCGACTTTTTCAAGGACTTCCAAGTACCAAAAGCCGCCATATTGGGATGTAAAATCGATTATAAACTTACTTTTTTTTCGCTTAGCACAACGTAATGTGAGAGTAGAAGTAAGTAACTAGTGTTGGAAACAAAGTTTGACAGTTTTTTTGTTTTGTTTTGGTTCTTTTTCAAAGTCTTGGTTCTTTACAGTTAACCAATCGTGCAGTGAACTTTTGCGAAAGTAAACAACTTGTGTTTCGCGCGCTCATATGGCCTTACACAGTTGCGAGCGCCGTAAAAGCCTATACTACTAACTAACTAACAAGGCCCACGTTGTAAAAAAGCCTGTCTTTTGAGGTAGAAAACAATAACAATGATTTGTTTTTAAAAAAACAACAACCCAAAAACCACAACGAACAACTAAAAAAAACCCACAGAAACAATGCAAACTGTTGCTCTCCTAAAAAGCTTACTAGTATCGGGAACCAAGTTTAATTTTTAATAATTGTCATCCAAGTTTCTAATTAAAGAAACAGGAACTACAAAATAACGTCGTCTCATAGAGGTGGAGAACATAAAGAACAGTCTATTAAAGCGGAAAGAAAGTAAGAAAAAAAAGGAAAGAAAGTACGAACGAACGAAAGAAAATAATAGTATGTTAATGAATACCTCTGGCGGAGCTTAAAGTCAAATTGTCAGCCATGAAGTCTAATGTATTGCCCATTGAGACCTCGCCGCGGCCTTTTTGGCAAAGCGACAACACACGGGGCGAGGTCGGGGCTGCTGCGAAATACCTGGCACAAAAATAATCCTCGGCATTGTCGTAGTGAACTGAAGTGGAAGTCTAGCGCTCAATTTGGGTACGGAGAATAACATTATTTCAACATCGTTTCCACATCATTTCAACATCGTTTCAACTTCATTTCAACATCGTTTCAACATCATTTCTACATCATTTCAACATCATTTCAACATCATTTCTGCATCA